TTGCTGAGTGTGGAACGCCTTCTGCCCCCACTTGATCATCTCACTGCTACTCCATCTTCAGAGTTTAGCTTAGATGTGGAAGTCTTCCTTCCTCACCCCACCACCAGCACCCCCAGGCGCCCTGTGTTAACTCTCAGCTAGAAAATCCCTATGAACTGGATAAAAATTACTAGATTCCTCATCTCTTTACTCCAATCCGTTGAGATCAACACCTGTATCTTGTGCTCTGACATACCTAATGCTTAAATGCAAAGTAAGCACAAAGACTATTCAATATACTTTAATATATAAAAGCAGTGTATATACGTAATATCATGGTAATTAAGAGCCCAAGCCGTGGAGTCAAATATCTAAGATTGTGACTTGGTGCCCACCGTTACTGCTTGTGATCTTGGACAAGTTATTTAGCACCCTGTGCCTCAGTTTCCTCATCGGTTAAATGAGTATAATGATAATATCTACCTAATGAGATTTTTGTGACGCTAAATGAGTTCATGCAGGTAAAGTGCTTAGAGCAGCGCCAGGCACGCAGAGTAAAAACTGCTCTTATTAATATTGTTACAGGTTTTTTTTTTAAGTTTTTATTTATTTATTTGACAGAGAGAGACACAGCGAGAGAGGGAACACAAGCAGAGGGAGGGGGAGAGGGAGAAGGAGGCTTCCCACGGAGCAGGGAGCCTGATGCGGGGCTCAATCCCAGAACCCTGGGATCATGACCTGAGCCGAAGGCGGAAGCTTAATGACTGAGCCACCCAGGCGCCCCTCTTATTAATATTGTTAATCTCATCTCATATCTCCCCCACCTCCCTTTCATCCTCACCTCCAAGCTCTCTCTCTTTTTACACACAGGTACACAGAAACAAAAGCATGTTTGAGGGCCAGCATTATTTGGTAGTTAACCACAGTGTAATTAAACCACATTTTGGCAAGTTTTTTTTTAGCTCTTGGGAAGTCAATGTTACTTTGGGGAAAGAGCACTGAACTAGAAATGGTCCACGTCCCAGACCGTCTTCTAAGGTATCTATCTCAAAAAGGAACATTCCTTTGAATGTGCTCATTACTCTGTATGCCTTTTTTTTAATAAACAGAACAGATTTTTAGATACATTGTGTTTAATTCCATGTAAGAGTTCCAGCACTGCATTGTCTACCATCAGAAACTTGGAACCTTAAGGTACAGGGAAAAGCATATTAAATAGGGGTCAGGGAATTAGGTACCATAAGCGTGCATTGGAGAGGTCACAATTAATCTGGGCCTCATTACTGCATCTGATGAACTAAAGCCTGAAAATTCAATGAATCTATTTTGAGATAGAGAAAAGACATTTAAAGGTAACACTCATGTTGACAGAGAGAAATGTTCTATATATGCAACGGAGTCTTATCCTGCCATTTGCGACAAATGGATGGACCTTGAGGGCATTATGCTAAGTGGAGTAACTCAAAGAAAGACAAATGTGGTATAAGTTCTATAAGATAGAACACGGAGAGTAAGTAGGAAAGAAATACTAAAATGAATCATGTGGAACCTAAAAAAGCAGAACTCATATAAATAGAGAGTAGAATAGTGGTTGCCAGGAGCTGGAAAGTAAGGGAAATGGGGAGATGTTGGTCAAAGGCTATAAACTTCTAGTTATAAGATGAATACGTTCTGGAGATCTCATGTCCAGCATGGTGATTGTGGCTCACAATACTGTGTTACATACTTGAAAGTTGCCAAGAGAGTACATCTGAAATGGTCCCATCACAAAAAAGAAGTGATAATTATGTGATATGATGGCAATATCAGCTAATGCTACAGTGGTATTCATTATTCAATATACAAGTGTATTAAATTGACACATACACCTTCAGCTTACACAATGTTCCAGGTCAGTTATGTTTCAATAAAGTAGGGCAGGGGGAGAGAAAGAAATGTACAGAATGACTATTCTTGTGAAAATGGGTGGTAAACAAGTCAGGAAATGTAGGTGAGGCAATCTTGAAGACTCTGGTTTCTTTGCTCCGGATCTTGAGAGCATGATGGACATGAGTTGTGCCCCGAAATAGGGAGCTCACTGACTTTTTTCCCTATTGCTCTAATATGAGAAGATGCTTTTGAAAATAATCTATATAATGCTCCAATTTTAAAGAGTATTTAAACTTGGTAGGTTTGGCCTGGGTTTTAAAGGAGCAAATGGGCACAGACCACAGGAGCAGCTAGGGAGGTAGAGAGTATCTCTCAATGGCTACCACACCAGAAACTATGAGGAAGGGGAGAAAAGGCAACTGACTAGGATGAACTCAAATATTTCCAATCTTCATTAGAAATGGCAGAGATGAGGGGTGCCTCGGTGGCTCAGTCAGTTAAGCATCTGACTCTTGATTTCGGCTCAGGTCATGATCTCAGCGTCGTGCGATCTAGCCCCCCATGGTGCTCTGTGCTCAGCAGGGAGTATGCTTGGGATTCTCTCTCTCCCTTTGCCCCTCCCCCTGCTTTCACACTCTCTCTCTCTCTCTCTCTCAAATAAAATAAATAAATAAAACTTAAAAAAAAAAAGAAATGACAAAGGTGATAGTGGGGAGGTGAGGAGAAAACCTTGCCAGATCACCTCAATGTTAACACGAGATTTTGAAATCTAGATTAGGGCCCCTGTGGGTTCCTAAATGAGATCGAAAACAGTATGTAGCTCTGTGTGAAGAGTTTTTAGATTCTTAATTGGATTTTTATCTTGAAATGACATTGTTTATTGTAATTTAAATACGTGGGAATAAGAGGCACAGATTGTATTTCTAAGAGCACTTATATTTGGAATAACCATCATCTCTATTCGAGATAGCTTTTTTTTTAATTTTTAGATGCCAATTGCTAATTCATATCCCCCTAACAATTTTCACTGATATATTAGCAACCGTTTATTTTTTAAAAAATCAGGACCTGTTGATATAAAATGGAGGGTTTTTCATTGTTTTGTGATGTTACCGGTTGCACGAGGGAGCATAAAGATAGAACACGGAGAGTAAGTAGGAAAGAAATACTAAAATGAATCATGCTCACCAGGTCCTGGGTGTTCTACGTGAGCTATGGAGTCAGACCTTGACACGGCTCACATAGACAGGCCAAGAATTAATGAAAACAAATCTAAATGCCACAAAGTGACAAGATGGGAAAGGTAATGCTTCCTATTTGTTAATGCAGCATTACCTATCACAGAGGGTTGAATATGTGCTAGCTAATTACACACTTGAATTTCCTAGGAAATCAGATCTTCATAGATAGAAAGATGCTTATACTTCTATTAGCAAATAAGAATTAACAAAAATGATAACAGCTATCAATCAAAGTAACATCCTAGTAGTGGACATCACAGAAACATGGAAACAGCGTAGCCAATATGGCATAAAGAAATGCCAACAAAGGAAATGCATTTGCAGATCCCACTGAGAAGCAAAACCCCATAAAGGGGAAGTCCCATTGTTGCAAGAACACAGGCTTAGGTCTTAATTATTCAAAAAATATAATTTAGTGGCATTTGAAAATGCAGTTCAGAGGCCCTCTGTAATATATATTAATATACACTTGCTACTGTATTATTTCCTCTTCTTGAGGGTAAAGACCAGTCTTCTACTTGTTTTCCAATGTATTCAGAGTTTTCCAGTTTGTGGTTTTTGGTCAATAATAAATATTTTTATCTGAATGTTGGACTTTCTCCTATGAAGATCAAAGGATGATGTCTGATGTCTGAGTATTTTAACTGTGGAATAACTGAACTGTTGTTAAGATTAAAAAAAAAATTGCATGGGGGCGCCTGGGTGGCTCAGTCAGTTAAGTGTCTGCCTTCGACTCAGGTCATGATCTCGGGGTCCTGGGACCAAGCCCCACGTGGGGCTCCCGGCTCAGTGGGGAGTCTGCTTCTAGCTCTGCCTCTGCCTCTGTCCACCCCCATCAAATAAATAAATTTTTAAAAGTGGCATGGTAATAATTACAAGTAATGAAGTTTATGAAGTAAAAAATTTAAAAATTAAAGAATCAAAATAGCTTCTATATTTAGAGTAAGCCCTTATGGCGTTTCTACATTTATTCCTGTGCCACTTCTCAGGATATGTTTCTCGCTCATATTCAGAGAAAATGTCTCTTTCTAAGTGCTTTTTTATGAAGGAAACATAATATGTGCTGGCCTAACAGTAAGAAGTGAAACACTGATTCAGGGTTTCCTGATGGATGAAATTAATTTAGAAAAGAAATATAAATAGAAGCAGACAGAATAGTTATGAGTAGATGAGCCATAGCTGTCCACATGAGCTATGACGCAGAAGCTATTGCTTTGGGCACAGGTTCCCGGGAAGTCCTTTGAGGGCTGAGTTTATTGTTTCGGGTGCCCGTTGGTGAGAGCCTGCCGGCACTGCTCTTTGCTCCGTGTCTTTCTGATAGCGCACTGACCTGACTGATTACTTCATATCCAGCCCTCATTCTTGGAATGTCCTGTAGGGTAACCGTGTTTGTAATCCCAATAGCACAGTGCAGCACGATGTTATTTCCTCGTTCACGGTTTTGCTGGCGCCCCAAAAGACAGAGTGGTTATTTCAAGGACATGTTTGCTGATTTAGGTGGCAGTGGCTTCCACTGAGATGCTATCACCTCTGAACAAGGACACATTTATTCCACCAGCAGGGCTGCCCATCGCGAACTGAGTCTAAAGATAGCTTTCCCTAATGGTCATCTGTAACCTTTGGCCTTTTTCACATCGCACTGGCTAAAAACTCTAACTCCTTACATTAGGAGGTTCAGAGTTCCAATTAAGTCTTCTGTTACCAGTGCATTTAAAAGCCTATCATTTTGACGCCTTCCTTTTTCTTTCCTGTGACTTCTCCAAAGAGAAAAATAAAAGGAAATAAGATGACCCACAAACACTCTGGATTATGGGGACATGATGTTTTATAATAGTTTTATTCTACCACGGGTAAAAGTAGGGATCTGAGACCCTGCCGATGCTAAGTGTATTTGCTGCTTCGTGTTTCCAGATGACCAAGAATGGCACAGTGGAATCTGAAGAAGCTAGCACTCTTACCGTGGATGACATTTCTGATGATGATATTGATTTAGACAACACAGAGGTAGACGAGTACTTCTTTCTACAACCCCTGCCGACGAAAAAAAGGAGAGCACTGCTGCGGGCCTCGGGGGTGAAAAAGATTGATGTGGAAGAAAAGCACGAACTGCGTGCCATCCGCCTGTCGAGAGAGGACTGTGGCTGCGACTGCCGAGTATTCTGTGATCCAGAAACTTGTACCTGCAGCCTGGCAGGCATTAAGTGTCAGGTAAGGATCTAGATTTCACGGACTCCCAAGAGGAGACCTCATACCCCCCACCCCCCACCCCCACGTGACAGAGAAAGAAGTTGCTCCCGTATAGGAAGAAATTTTGCAGCAAGGCACGACCTACGGCTCAAGAAGAGAGAAATACTAAGTCAGGGACATTTCTGGGTGTACATAATATGCTGATACAAATAAGATACGATGTGAGAGGCAACCCAAGCTGTAGCTTAGTCCATCAGAATTATTTCCTCTTGGATTCATTTATTGTAACAGCGTATTGTGGGTTTTTACAAGCACTCAGAGAGATCGCGACATCTCTGACATAGGAGTTTGTGTTCCCGGATCCATCGACCGGGTACGAAGCGACGATAGGTGAGTGATGGCACACACTGGTGGGAAAATAACAAGACTGGGACTTAAGAAAATGGAGTTCTACTCCTGGCTCTGCTTTCCACCAGCTGTGTGAAATTGGCAAGTCAGGTAAGCTTTCTGGGCTCAGTTTCCTTATCTCAAAAATGAGAGGGCTGTCCTGAACCGGCAGTTGGCAAACTGTGGTTCACGGGACAAATCTGGCTGCCACCCGTTTCTGTAAATAACATCTGAGCGAAGCCCAGCCATTTTGCATCTCCTTGTTTGTCTGTTTTGGTGTCGTCTGTGACCACTGTCAGTGCTTTTACAGCGGCAGTGGGTAGTTGCCAGGGACACTGTAGGCCCACAAAACCTAAAATATTTCTTCTCTGGCCCTTTACCAAAAAAAAAAAAAAAAAAAGGAAGAGTTTACCAACCCAGGGACTAGACGATCCTCAAGTCCCCGTACGTCTGTATGATTTATGCTCCATGATTGGCTAGGTGTCATTATTTTATGAGGAAACTTGCCTTTTTTGATAAGGACAGCCACTCAGGCAGGCAAAAAAAAAGAGGCTAGTTCTCATCCGCTAAACAGTTGCTTAAAGTGGATTAACAGAAAAGGGATTCATGAGTAAGAAAACAGTTATAGACTCTGGCTCTGCCCCCTGCCATTACTTTTTACTGAAACCAGGATGACTGTGCTGAGTGTGCCTTCTCCTCTGTGACAGAGGACATTCCCTGCGCCTGGATAAGGTGGCAGGCGGGGCTGGTTCTTTCTGGGGGCCCGTGCTCTGGTCTGCATACAGCTTAATTGGTAGCAATTTAGCAAAGGTCTTGGGAGGGCCCTTGGATTACCGAGAATTCCACCTATGATCACCTGAGCAACGAGTTCAGTCCCGCCACGCTAGGTGAACCCAAACACCAAACACTCTGCCAACAGAGCCCAGTCGCTCTAATTCTGGGATGTCAGTGACATGAGCCTCCCTTTCCCTCAAGAAGCTTATAGCCTCCTCGAGTGGGGAGGGGCAGCCGAGAGCCAGGACCTAAATGCATGGGTCCACCAGCCAGAGTCATAAGTGGGCACAACGGTCCCAGCCCTGCAGGACACCGTGGACCAGGGATCCAAACAAATGGAAGGAAAACCAAGGAGAACGAACTATCAGGCTACATGAGACTAAGTGGTGTCAATCTGGCCATGTCGGGCAGAAAAGTTCATTTTATAATAAGCCCAGAAGAGGGGGATGGCTAGTATGGAAAATGTCCTCTAGATTAAAAATAGCAGGTAGGGATGGGGGCAGTAAATTTGTGTCGTTTAACATTGGGCATGTGAGGCCGCGTGCTGCGGAAGTGAAGGGAGCCTGGGGAAAGGAGAGACTTTGAAAATACAGGAGCAAAAGTAATAGGCTGGGGAGAAGGGGGGGGAGGGGAGAACGGGGAGAGAAGAAAGCACAGAGAGGGGGGTCTGTGAACTAAAACGCCACACTTACAGCCATGACTCATTTTTATTTTGAATACAGGTTTTAAGCCCAGGCTGACGCTTAAGACATTTGCCGTCTTCACTTGCCCTCTTCGTTTCTTTGCAGTGTGATTATCACTGGTTCTGGCGCGAGTGGGATTAAGTGACGCCAGATTCAAAGGGGTTGCGGAGAGGTGCTGGAGTTGTCTTGGGTCTGTAAGAGTTCCACGGCGCTAATCTGTGTTCTTCCTTCCAAGGTGGATCGAATGTCTTTCCCATGCGGCTGCACTAAAGAAGGATGTAGTAACACAGCAGGTAGAATTGAATTTAATCCGATCCGTGTCCGGACTCACTTTTTGCACACGATCATGAAACTTGAACTGGAGAAAACCCGGGAGCAGCAGATCCCCACGCTGAACGGCTGCCACGGCGACATAAGCGCTCACAGTAGCTCCATGGGCCCCGTGGCGCACTCGGTGGAATATTCCATCGCGGACAATTTCGAGATTGAGACGGAGCCCCAGGCCGCCGTGCTGCACCTGCAGTCGGCCGAGGAGTTAGACTGCCAAGGGGAGGCGGAGGAGGAGGAGGAGGAGGAGGAGGAAGAGGAGGAGGAGGAGGAGGAGGAGGACGGCAGCAGCTTCTGCAGCGGGGTCACCGATTCCAGCACGCAGAGCCTGGCGCCTAGTGAGTCGGAGGAGGAGGAGGAGGAGGACGACGACGACGACGACGAGAAGGGGGACAGCTTCGTGGAAGGTTTGGGCACCCATGCGGAAGTCGTCCCGCTCCCTTCCGTCCTCTGTTACTCCGATGGCTCGGCCGTCCACGAAGGGCACGCGAAAAATGCTTCTTTTTATGCCAACTCTTCAACTCTGTATTACCAAATCGATAGCCCCCTTCCAGGAACGCCTCACCAGATCTCCGAGAGCTATTCGGAAAGAGACCCTGTGAAAACCGGTACCCTGTCGCTGGTGCCTTACACCATGACCCCGGAGCAGTTTGTGGACTATGCCCGGCACGCTGAAGAGGCCTACGGCGCCCCCCACTACCCGGCCGCCAACCCCTCCGTCATCGTTTGCTGCTCCTCCGCAGAAAGTGACAGCGGTGTGCCCTGCAATAGCTTATATTCCGAACCCAGGTCCAGTCATCCTCAAGTGGAATTTCACTCATACTTGAAAGGCCCCTCCCAGGAAGGGTTTGTCTCCGCGTTGAATGGCGACAGTCACATTTCAGAGCACCCTGCGGAGAATTCTTTGAGCCTGGCAGAAAAGAGCAGATTGCACGAAGAGTGCATCAAATCACCCGTGGTTGAGACCGTCCCCGTGTAGTAGCTCAGATCCTCCTAGGACCACCCCTTCTCTTACCGAAAGCCCTGTATTTCATTCGACTTCCTGGGCCCGTGTTTTTTTTAAACTGAGGACCAAGAACACCCGGACTTCGGCGAATTTTCCAGACTGCATTTCGTTTTCTCCTTTCTAGCTACGTGAACTGTGGCGTTGCACAAATACGGTCTCTATGAGGATTTTAAAAGATTTCAGACTGTTTTGATAGAAAAATGCTAATTTTAAAAAAGCATAGCTCACAGTTGCCTACCTGTCAAACTGTGTGAAACCTGCCAAGCTGTGTAGATCAGAGCTCCAAGTTTTGGATTATCGGGCCTGTGCAAGATTGTTAACTGAGACTGGGAAGTAATAAGATTTAGAGTCCTAATTTTCGATAAATCTGAAGATGATGGTGACTTTTTAATGTAAAAGTAATTATTGTAAGAAAAAGATTTAATCGTTCCATGTGTATTTTATTCATGGTAGTTAGAAGTCACGTTTTGATGAAAATGAACAGCAGCATGTTCTTTTAAGCTGAAGACGCATAGTTAGTACCACCGCGCATGCCCACATGGATTGCGTCTGGAATCCATTCACGTTTTTATGATCATGACTGATCAGATTTGCAAATACTTTCTTAAGGGTGAAATAGGCCTATTTTTGCTATTTTGGACAAATAAATGAGTCTATATGTGCAGGTCCTTACACAGTTTTCTCTAAAGTTAAGAGTTAGGACAATCCTCTGGTGAGGGTCTAGTCATTGCCCTCCCTCAGCTGACTCCAGAGTTGGAGGTAGAAGGAATTGCCTTTCTTTTTTAAACAGCATCATCTTGGTTCTTAGCTTGGACAGCACCTTTAAACTCTACTCCCCTACATCCAAATGCACTTTAGTGCCCCTTCATGGTACCTTGTGAGGGGTGGGGACTGAGAACTCTTTGAGATGAAAAGTTAAAAAAGAAATTTTTTTTAATTTGTAACTATTATAAAGTTCATATAATTAATATAGAGGAATCATCCAATGATACTTTATGAAGGAAAAATGACCTATTTTCCTTCGCCACTCTGAAGACCTAACTCGGTAAAAGCAGAGGAGGCAGAAGAAACCTGGAAGAGACACATCCTCAGCAAACAGCCTTTTCTACTGCGTGATCAATCCATCTCTACAAAATGAGTATATAAGGAGCTTTCCTTTTAGTGACTAGCTGATTGAAGGGGGCCTCTACCCAAATACTCAACTAGGCCTTACTTTTCTGAAGCGTTTTGATTTCTCTTGCCTGGGACAATTAGCAAAACAGTCCAGAATGCGTTGAATACTTTCTAATTACCTCATGTTCTCTTATTAAAGGGGACAGATAGAAATTAAAACATGCACTCCCCACCTTTAGATTATCTGCACTTGGTTCGTCGGAGGACTTCTAAGATCCCGTTTTCCTGTACATTAATTTAGGTACCTAACTAGTGTGTTCTACCTTCCCCTCCCAATGCAATATGACTATGCTAAGTCTGTTTCATATTTCCAACCTTCTGTTGTTACAGCATTTCACATTTTATGCCTCTTTGAAATGTGGACATGCCTTGCTCTTCAGTGACTGCATCGCTAATTTTTATGTCTTCTAGACTTAGGTGTTTAGAAATATGGATATAAATATATGGTAGATCTCAATTCTTTAAAAAATACTATTTTATTTCATTGAACTTAAAAATGTTTGATCTCAAGAAAGTCCTCCAGTGGAAAAGTTTCTGCTAAAACTTGGTTTGGGGAAAACATGTCTCCCGGGCAGCTCCTTCCTCCTTGCGGTCGGTCCCGCCCTCTCTCCCCTCCCCAGGGGGTCAGATTTATAACCATTAATGTTAACATTAAAGGAGCTTTGGGTGTGTCCTTATGGAAGTAGCAGTGAGGAGGGCAGGCATGTGACTCTTGAATGATAAGCCCTTTGGGTTAATCAGATTGGGGTTTTTGTTCAAATCTCAATAGTATGTCTCACGTTGTCTACAAAGTTACACTTTTTAGTGCTTGGTTTCCAAAACTGTTTCCCTTACCAATACAATCTAAAGAGCACAGGCCCAAAGAAAAATGACAAGAGGCTACTGTTCCTTCATTTAAGCATGTGAAAAAACCACATGGGCCCTATTTGCTGGACCATTACAAGCCCTTGAAATACTTACTCGTGAAGCAGTCAGCATATTCTTAGAACACAGGCGGTGGCGAGGGGAGAAGAGACTGGCTGGGGCCAAGTTGAAGGGTAGAATGTCAGTCCAGTTTCTGCAAGGATAGATACTTAATTTGGTTCAGCTTTGTATTTGCAAGAAGGTTGACGCCTACTTGTTTGTTTGGCTAGGTTTCTGTTTTGTAGCTTCATTTCCAAAAGGATGCTTAACCTAGAAACATGTAAACAAAAAAAAAATCAGAGGTTTTTCCCCTGTCCAATTGGAGTTGAAAGTCACTGGGCACAGAAGGATTAACCTTCCAAGCATGAATTCCATTCCAAATTTTCATACACATAACCTAACCCCTAAACATCTCCCACAAACTACATACACAGATTACCTATTAAAACACACACACACACACACACACACACACACGGACGCACACGATGTATGCTACACACGGGAGAATGACAGATTTTAGGCTATGGCCAATAATAAACACTGTATTTTTTCCCTACCTTAGGACTGGATGCCGTTTTATGATCAAAAAAGGTCTAGAAAAGAGGATAATTTATAAAGCTATAGTTTGAAAATGTCGGGTCAAAGTTGCAAATAATATTAATGATGGATTCATTTCATTGTTACTTCCTTTCCCAGAAATGCTGAGAGAGCACAGTGTTCCATCTGACTTTTTTTTTTCCGTTAATAGCCCTTCTATTCAACAAAAACTGCCCACATGCCAGGAGAGCGCTACAGTTTTTCTAAGCTTTTTAAAATGGGGATCAAGCTAGATGCAGCCAGTTGGGATACTTAAGATCTTTACACTGAGACACAATGACACCTGACCTGCAGCTGTTGTATTGCCCCCATAGTATATCTCACCAAATTTCTGTCTTTTTCTGACATGCAGCTTTTTAGTCATTGACTGCCAATGGCAAAGCTTCGTGCTTTGGTCCCTGTTGTTTTAGCACCAGCCCTGTGCTTTTTATTGGGACTTAATTCCCAGTTATAATCCAGACCAGATTGATTTGCAAATCAAGTGGCTGGAGCAGCTTGCATTTCCTTTGTCATTCTAGGTTTCCTTTGGGAGAAAGAAGTCAACGAAAGAGATTTACCTAAGTTCCCCACCGCCCATCGTTTAATCATTGATTATTAAGACATAAGTAAAACGTGTTCGACTCATGTCTTTTGTTAGCTGAATAATATAGTTACTTTTTTAAAAGTCATTCTTTTCTTTGTGATAAAACTATATTTTTCCCAGTGTACCAGCCACATATAAAATGTGAAATTAATATTATTCGAGTCATAAAATCTTCACAATCATTTATGGCCCAGCAATAACCCCCCGCAAAAAAAAAAAAAAACCTCTATGAATTATAGAAACACTCGCCACAAAATAATCAAGAAGCTAAGAGATTATAAGTGATTATGTTCTTTATATTTTTTACATTCTAACAGATGATATCCCAGCAAAATTCTGCTTTGGTTATCATTAAACAGGGAAATAGATCATGATTTATTTCCTATACATTGATATATCATTGGTTCTCTAATCAAACTTCGATATTGTACAAGTTTATAATTCTTTGGTCTTCATATTTAGAATTTACTAAGTATCAACTCTATCAACAAATATTTATAGAACACCTACTGTGCTAGAGGAAGTGTTCTAAGTGGGTAAAAAGAGGAGTGGCATGAAATAATCAAGCTTCACTGTAATTCTTTTTGTTGTTGTTCTTTTTTTTTATTATGTTATGTTAGTCACCACACAGTACCTCATTAGTACTTGATGTAGTG